AAAACCAATCTAGACCCCATTATGGCACCCTGTCGGAGGGGGGAATCATCTCCGATGGCCATCTTCATCATCCCGGCGGCCACCACGATGAGGAGGGAGTAGTCCACCCTCGGGGCTGAGGGTTTGTACCAGTAGCTATGTGTTTAATCTCTTTGTCTCGTGTTCTTGAGATGTCACGATCTTGATGTATCTTGGGCTTTGTTAATATAGTCGGATCATACGGTGTTTTCCCCTCTCTATCTTGTTGTGAATTGAGTTTTCCCTTTGAGATTTTGTTTTATTGGATTGAATACTTTTATGGATTTGAGAGAACTTGATATATGTCTTGCATATGAATACTCGTGGTGACAATGGGGTATTATTTTGATTCACTTGATATATGTTTTGGCACTCAACTCGCGGATTCCCAGGTGACATTGGGGTAATCTATGCATAGGAGTTGATGCACGTTCTTGTCTTTGTTTCCGTGGTAGAAATCTTGGGGCACTCTTTGAGGTTCTTTGTGTTGGATTGAGTATTATGAATCTGAAATTATTTGGTGTTATTTCAGTATGAACTCTTGGATAGATCGATCGGAAAGAATAGCTTCGAGGTGCTTTCGTACCCTACAAACGATTTCTTCTTATGTTCTCCGCTAGATAGGAACTTTGGAGTGATTCTTCATCGCACGTCGAGGGATGGTTATATGATCCGATTATATTAGCGCTGTTGAGAGATTGCACTAGCGAAAGTACGGACCCTAGGCCTCATTTTCAAGCATTGCAATATCGTTTGTGCTCCATTTTATCAATTGCTGCCTTGCTATTTTTTCATTGTTCTTATTACAAAAATCAATATCTACTATCCATATTACATTTGTATCACCATCTCTTTGCCGAACTAGTGCACCTATACAAATTACCATTGTATTTGGTGTGTTGGGGACACAAGAGACTTTTTATTATTTGGTCGCAGGGTTGTTTGAGAGAGACCATCTTCATCCTATGCCTACCATGGATCGATAAATCTTAGGTTATCCACTTGAGGGAAAATTGCTACTGTCCTACAAAACTCTGCGCTTGGAGGCCCAACACGTGTCTACAAGAATAAAGTTGCGTAATAGACATCAGCCGCCTGCATCAGGGGAGAAATTTTCATCCGGCGTTTGCTTGCGCGCATTTGGCTGAGCTAATGCAAGTGCCCGGTGTTCATGATTAAGAGCTAACAGCTACGCATGACACACATTTATAGTAGAGTTCCTTGACAGTGTGTTCGCGATGGCGGCATCTGTGTCGGCCGTGGGCGAGGAGGCCGATCGGGCGACGCCGGCAGCGGCGCGGGGCACAACATGGCGTCCATCCGGCAAGGTTGACTATGATTAGTGAGAACATAGTGCCTTGGCGAATGCGGTGGACGGTTGACGCGGCCGACGCGACGAGCATGGAATCGCGGGCGAGCGATCCTGTTGGCGGTGCGTTGAACCAATTGCTATTGTCGCCGCTGTGAAGAAAGTCCATGGGGAGAGATGAATAACAGGACGCTGAGGTAGAGGTCAGGGAGGGAAATGTAGTGTGCACGCCATGAACATGAGTGTAGAAGGACGAGGGGGAGGAGCCCAAAGGAATGACACCGGCGATGGCGCTAGTGTAGTAGGACAAGGAAGAGGAGGCCGAAAGGAACGACACCAGTGATAGTGCCAGTGTAGTAGGACACCGGCTAAGAGGCCGAGAGCGAAGGACTAGGCAAAGGAGATTGAGCAGTGTCATTAAAACAGACCACACATATGCATATGTATAGTCCATGAAGAAGATATAGATATACGATTGCCGAAACAGAAAATGTGCAACAGGAAAGTCGTGTGAAACCGTGGGATGAAACTACTGGTCCAAGAAAATTTCAAACTGTCGACCGTGCACAATTCGTCCGAAATAGCTCCAAGCATGAACACAAAATTGAATGTTTACAGTAGACGAAACTACAAACCGATCACCTAAATGAAACAATAACATCGATGCACATCTTTTTCGTATAGAGCTTATCTCGAATCGAAGCACCATTGTGTAGATTAGAAAGTGAAATAGGGTTATACTAAAACACGGACAAACTCAGGTACAGGGTGCACCCAGCCAGCACGAGGTCAACCATGACTACACCACGAGAGCCCACGCACACGCACTCGGTTGCATCGCTGCAGCATGACTCGCTGGAAACAACCGAATTGATGATTCCTACTGACGCAGACTTAGAGCCGCTTTAAGTTCCGCGCGGGCCAAATTTTTTTAATACGACCCGAACAACCAAACAGGCCAAAAAAATTCCGTGCTAGCCTGACTGGGCCTAATGCACACTATCAAACGCACCATGTGACCAAAGGGGTGCTCTTCGTCTAGTAGGAGACCCAAGATGAGCTCTTGGTTCTGGAGATGAAGAAAGACAGGCTCTTCGTCCTGGAGGAGACCGAAAGGGGTTAGGATCAGAAACAAAATTAAATGGAGATATAGTTTGATTTTGTAGAAAAATAATAATATTTAATTGTTTCCGGATGCAGGGTTCACGTACTGTTTCTATACGTAGATACAAAACTAGAGGAGTAAATTCGCTAGGTTAGCACAAAATACTACGTTAAATTTGTGTTGCAGAAAACACCACATCTTGTGTAATCGATTTGCAAAAGGCACTGATCGGCGGATTAGTCTCATTTGAGCGCGTTTATGATAGGTGGGTCCTTATTTTTGCTTAATGTGGCATAACTTTTCATACCAAATGAATTTTTATCTATATTTACAAACTAGTCCCAACAATTTTATATAGACACCCTTTAATAAAAAATCAAAAACGCAATTAGGCCCCCATGGCCTGCGCGAGCAGAGCAGGACCCCATGGGTCTTGTCGCCGATGGGAGGGCGCGCATCGGGGTATGCGAGGAAGGCACCCGCGATGCAGCAAGCTGTGGAGGCTTAGGGCATCGGCTGGAGCGCAACCACATCAAGCTCCTTGGCCGGTCAACTACATCTTGTCGGGGGTGGCCTGCGGAGGGAGCGGAAGGAGTGGTGGCGGCCTGCGGAGGGGGAAGAGGGAGCGGCGGAGGCCTACAGATCGGGTGCCGCACGACGATGGTGGTGGCCTGCGGAGGAAGCGGCGACGATGACCGTGGAGGGAGCGGCAGCGCGGAGATAGTGGGAGCGACGACGCCGAGCTAGTGGGAGCCTGCGGAGGGAGCGGTGGTGGCCTGCAGATCCGGTGCCGGGCGACGACGGCGGCGCCGAACTAGTGGACATGCTTGTGCGAGGGGAGGGTCTGTTTTTTCTTTTTGAGGGAAGGGAAGGGTCTGGTTGGCATGGGAAAAAAAGTTGGGGGCTTTTTTGCTTTAAACCCAAACAGTTATGCCACGTAAGCAAAAAAGGACCCACATGTCATAAACGCGTTCAAACAAGCCTAATCTGTCGATCAATGTTATTTGCCAAAAGATTACGCAAGACGTGGTGTTTTTTGCAAAAAAATATAGCGTAGTGTTTCTTGCAAACCTATCCTTCAAAGTGATGGTTTGTTACAATTTATACTCTAACTAAAGATACATACTAGTGCAAATCTGCTCACATCACAGAGGCAGGCCCGTCATAAGTTAGGAACTCCCATAATTTACTAGCTATCTTGCCAACTTTGCGTGGGTTAGTTTCAAAGATCCCCACCATTTAGGATTCACATATAAATTTGTTTGACTATTGAACGTGCGCAGGGTCAAACATTGAGCCAAGGACAAGGACCGGGCGACCGCCATGAAAGGAGACGCGGGTGGTGCGTGCTTCAAAAGGAGAGATGCCAGTGCCATGCCATTCTCATTCTCGTCACCATCAAGCACGATCTGAAATTTCTTGTTCCAGCAGCGAAGAAACATTAGAATACCATGGTCAAACAATGGCGCTACGTTCCAGGATTAGCCAGGAACTTGTCTATCCTTTCAACTGCTATATCTCATGGCTGTCGCCGTCGATCATAGAAATATGGGGTGGAACGTCGCCGTCAATTTGGTACGGAAAGAGGCTACATGGATACGTACATGCATAGTACACGAGGGGAAAAGAAAAGAAGATACTTTACATGGCATGCATGTCTGCGCCTACCCGGATTTGATGCGCATTCAAGGCTCACAACTGTAGCCTACCGGGCATCGTCTTGCCTTGTGGGGTAATGGGGTTAAAGTAGACAGCTGGTAGTGTATGAGTATCCTAACCTAGTGATTAGTTTAGCGTGTCCTAGCTTGGTTTTCCTCCACCTACGCTAGGAAGCCTAACCGGAGCACCTTTTTCCCTCCAAATACTCGTCGTCTTCTTTGGGAGTAAGTTTTTCTGAATTATTCAATATGATAGTAAGGAGTTGTTCGGCAGTCCTCCCGCTCCCTGAAATCTCAGGATCTATGGAGCACCTCTTTCCCCGCTCTGTGATTTTCAACTGCTGCTCCACCAGCTCCGGAAGCAGAGTTGTGGAGCGGAGAGACTCCGAACAGGCGAGCGAGAAGTTGATACTTTTTTTTGAGGGAGCGAGAAGTTGATACTTAGGGGGGCTGTTAATAAATAAACTAAGCAGCAACTTGTCTATCCTGGAACTCCTGCTAAGCGCTGTCAAACTCACGCACGGAACGTTCTTAATTCTGGCATCTGGCAGTGAGTGCTCGGACTTGGAGGGAGCGTTTGACCGCGTTCACTGCTCTAGTCTAGTCCCCCTCCCCCCCACCTTCGAGCGCACGCTGCCAACGGAAAGAAAAGTAGTCACTCGCGCAGGCGGAAAAAGCAGCCAGCAGCAGCGGAGGCGCAAAAAGCGAAAACCACCCTCACCGCAGCAGCTCGGCTAGCCTCCAGGTCCAGGCCACCACGGCGAAAGGTGGAGGGAGGAGAGGGAAAACAAAGGGGACACAAATTCGCAGTGCCGGCTCCCCCAAAACCTAGCCCCTCCCCTCTCCCCGGCGTCCCATGTGCCCCGTGTCGCCGGCGCCCCGGCGCCAGCAGTAGATCGCCGCGCCGGGGATGGCGCGCCCCGGGCACGCCATGCGCCGCTCCGGCCGAGGTCAGTCTGCCAGCCCCCCTCGATCTGAGTCCACTCCAAGGTTGCGTTGGAGCACCGGAACCTGTTTGCTTTGCTTGGGTAGGAAATTCGGGCCGTGGCGCGATTATTTAGGGGGAGCGCCTTGAGGTTTAGCGCCGGAGGGACGCCCTCTGTGCTTTGTTGAGGTGACGGCGAGGTTTTTGGGCGGACGGGGCGGGTGCGTGGGACGCCCAATTCAGTGCTCGTGGCGGCGGCTGTTCTGGGATCTTAGTTTCCGCGCTTGTTTGGTAGCTCAATCTGGAGCTCGATTGGGGAGTCGTGGGAATGTCGGACTCACGGCTCGGTTCGGCATCGTGAGTAGGTCACTGGAGTGAGTCGAATTCAGGAATGCTTCAAGAGCTTAGATTGGCTGGTGCCATGAACCGTGCCTTGGATGTAACATTTGCTAGTTCTCTTTACTCGGAGACCCGCTACACTGCTTTTTCTGTCCCTTCTGTGTCAAAGGCTCTGCTTCTGTAGATATATTCATTGGTACAGAGAAGAACTATTTACTATTTTAAGGAATGCTTTGTTGGAAACCATCGATTTGGAATATACACAAGTGTGCCTGTTCTGTTTTTTTTTTTTTTTGAATATGAACTTGTTGCAGCCTCATTTCTCATCGATCTAGTTAATTTGTGTTACCTATAGATGGGTTTATGATCTTGATTCTTGAATAACATTTGGACCTGGCCAGTTTGATCTCTGTGCCTACTGTGTATTGTTTCTACTGGGCTGTTCGCACTAAATTCTGTAGATATGAGTGGATATCAATTAGTTGCATCTGTTTCTGTGCAATTTACAACATGCCTTTGTCTTGAGATGATGCTGACTGGTTAACTGTACTGTTTCTTGGCAGGACTGTTTGAAGATGCCCCAAGGAAACTATCATTTAATTTGTTGGTTGTTATATTGGCTCTGGAATTTATCAGTGAGACCAATTTGATTGCCAAAACATTGGCCCTAAAGGCTGACACTCCTGCTATGCCTCCTTCACAAGGATGGGGTCCAGTTCGGACCATGTTGTCCCAAACCAAAGTTGGCACAAGTGTTGCAATGCATCAGCATAGGCAAAAGAAGCTATATTCATCGCCATCTGCTCTGTCATCTGTGCATCCTCCTATCTCCGCACCGAGTTATAGCTCCATCTCTGGTGCTTCTGACCTCTCCTTGTATTCCTTGGACCTGTTCGATCCTTCGCTGCAGCATAACAGGCGCTTAGCAGAAGATGTTCCTGCTCATGAAAATGCTGCACCCCCTGATGCAGCTTCGAATACTAGTGCAGCTCCTTCTGGATTAGTACAGCCCCCAATATCTCCACACGATGGTAAGTTTTCCTAGAGCCTGAAATAATTTAATTTCAAATGATTTCATTACGTCAAACATGGCTCCAAATTATATAAAAGAAATGCATGTGTATTTTAATCTAATTTGGCATCCTCCTCATTTGAGGAAATAGCACCTCATGACTGATCATAGTACCAGTTGTTGTAAAATTATATAAGTTTGTTGGCTTTTGCTAATTCAAGCATTATAGTTTGGTGCATCAATTTGGAATGGTACTGATGAAATGAACTTTAGGATTGATAGCAGTTTCATAAATAATGAACAGTGATGGATAACATTGACGTCAATCATAGATACTTATGGTTTGTAGTACATCTTGATATTTGCTCTAGATACACTGTCAAACAGTTGATTCCGTTTTAATTCACTCTCTGTTTTACTAGGCTGTTGTGCTCCAAACATGGTACAAAGACGAGGGAGCCAGGACTGCCATTGTGTTTACCCAGTTAGAGTTGAGCTCTTCCTTCACAATGTTTCCTTGAATTCAAATTGGAGCAACGAATTTCTCGAGGAGCTCGCGTCGCAGCTCAGCTTGCGGGTTACACAGTTTGAGATTGTAAATTTCTATGTTGTTGGAACTTCTGGGCTAAATATGACAATGGACATAGCTCCCCACACTGGAAATAGTTTCTCATCTAATCAAGTTACTGCGATGAATTATTCTCTTAGCTCGCATACAGTTCGGATCAATCCGGTGCTGGTCGGGGATTACAATCTTATTAATTTAACGTGGTTCAGGCCATTGGGTCCAGCTCCTGGTAATCCTTTGTCATCTTGACCTTCTTTTACATGTTACAATGATGGTACATCTTTAGTGTCTACGGTAGAGAAAACTAGAATGCACTTCATTTTTAATTATTTTTGTCTGTATTGTGTAGTTTGGTTGGGAGATTGAAGAATATTTGCAGCTCATGATTTTGATGATACTAGTTATGTCCAATTACCTATGGTGTGAACTGTGAAGTACTCCCTCCGTTCCAAAATAATTGAAGTTCTAGGATTTTCCTAAGTTAAACTTTTTAAAATTTGACCAAATATATATAGAAATCATAAAGATCCATGATACCAAATATGAAAATTTATTTCATAATGAAACTAATGAAGTTGATTTGGTTTTGTAGATGTTGATATATTTTTATATAGACTCGGTCAAACTCAATGAAGTTTGACTTACGACAATTCTACAACTTCAATTATTTTGGAATGGAGGGAGTACCAACTTGTTAAAGTAGGAACCTTTTTGACTGATGTGTCAAAGAAGTACTACCTATGTTTCCAGAAACAAGCCAAGTTGACCAAAATTGTTGTAGCATTTGCTTTACAAATCTGCAATACCCAATCTACTGTCTTCCAAATTACCCTGGTTAACTCTAGCCATTTCTCCCACCCTCCCACCTTGTTATTTCTGTTTGCAATATTAATAAAGGGTTTTGGTCACTTGAATCTATAATATAATTCTAGGTGTGCATTATTTGGTAAAAAGTGCCAAGTATGTAGAAAAGGATGGATTATTTAAATATAAAAAGATAGTGTAGATAGGTGCTAGATATTCAACTTCTACCATGCCATGGAATTTTAATGCCCAACTCATTCGGTCCAAAAAGGAGGGAAAGGGAAAGCAAGCATGCAGCCTGTATATAACCTGGGGAGCCGCATTACACAATTAGCCACAGAGGGCACATGTAGATTACATATTGCTTTGCCTTCTAAAGAACTGGATTAAAATCTTTACATACTTTTCTGTGTTTGTTTAAAATCTTCAGATTACGGGTATTCCATCTGCAGAATGTGCCCTTTCTTTTCGTGTGTGTCTTATTTACTATTAGTCCCTCTTTAAAATTAAATTTCTCTCCTAACAGTGTTCTGTCTTCTGTTTCATTTTTTAGCTCCAGCATTCATGATATCACCTAAGGCATCTCCATCTACATCATCTGCCTTACCAAAAAGGAGTGACAACACCAGCAGTAGCAGGCACTTGAGCCTGATCACTGTCATTTGCATATGTATTGGTGCTCTAATTGGTGTCCTGGTGATTGTTCTATTTATTTGCTTCTGCACATTTAGGAATGGAAAGAAGAAGGCGCCTCCTGTTGAAACACGTATGTGTCGAGTTATCTAGTCCTTCCTTTATTCTTTGCATTTAAAAAAATAGTTTTATCTGTTTTATTTTATGTGATGTGATTAGATTATTTAAACTATGCTATATGCAACAACTTCCCAATTTTTGCATTATTGTCCATGCTCATCGTTTTGACTTCGTGCGTAGTTTTCCCCTTATTGAGATCAGTATATGAAGTTATTATGTCTGATACTAGGCTATTGCTTGAATGCTACACTGATCTTCAGTTGAAGCATCAGTATTGTTGATGGTAGAGATATTTTGTCCCTGGTTTGCTGGTGGACAACAACCATGATATTGGAACCCAAGCTATATGTAGGCTGGCAGAAAGAAAACCAGCTATGGTAGTTGATTGGCTGTCACTGACTAGTAGGTGCAGCCTTCAAATAATGGTTGTATGATACATGGAATTCACTCTTGGCCCAAAACTCACCCCTGTCCATCCTATTTTGCATTAACAGGAAGTGAGCAGATGCTACTCTAGGTCCCTATACTTGTTTCGAGCGGTCAAATAAGCTCCTATTATATCTAAGTCCCTGAACATGTTTAAGTAGATGTAGAGCAATTAGGTCCCAGATATACCAATGTGGCGGGACTTCCCTCTCCATGGAAGGGGTGACCAACATTATCGTGGATCTCAAGATCTAAGCCACCCTCACTGCTAATTTCATTCAGCCACAGACAAGGGCTGCTGTCACTATCACTCCTCCTGATCGCCCTTGTCATAAGATCTGAGAGGAGTTTGGTGTGCCGGTGAATAATAATCAATCTACCGTATCAGCACTCTAGTTCTGCATGGTACGTTTGGGGCCTAACATTTGTAAATTGTAACTATTACTGGATCAAATCACAGCATATTGGATCACGGCAGTGAAAGCATTGCAGAGAATTCTCCTAACCGTATTAGCATTGGGAGGATACTTTGAGATTCGGTTTCACTTACGCAAGCGCAATACATTTGAACTAACGTCTTCATGGCTTGTCATGTTAAGAGAAATGCATCTTTCTTACTTTTTTTAGGGTGACTTTCTTACATATTTGTGGACTGTGAAAGGTGATAATGTATTTCTGGTTGTAGTCGTGTGAAAATTATTAGATAAGATGGAAGCAGATACTTTACCCCTAACCCCCTATGATTCATTCAGATTCTTAGTTAATTTCAAATGATCCAGTTTTTGGTTTCTTTCCCAGTGTTTGTTACGTTTGTTTTCATAATCATGTTAATGTATATTAACGTTATCTGTTGTTCTGTAACAGCCAAGCAAAGGACACCAGATGCAGTATCTGCAGTTGAATCACTTCCTCGCCCCACAAGTACTAGGTTCCTTGCATATGAAGAACTTAAAGAAGCAACAAACAACTTTGAGGCTTCATGTGTGCTTGGGGAAGGTGGTTTTGGCCGTGTCTTTAAGGGGATACTAAGTGATGGCACTGCTGTTGCTATTAAGAAGCTTACTACTGGGGGGCACCAAGGAGATAAGGAGTTTCTAGTTGAAGTGGAGATGCTGAGCAGATTGCACCACCGCAATCTTGTGAAACTCATTGGATACTATAGCAACCGTGAATTGTCACAAAGCCTTCTTTGTTATGAGCTTGTTCCTAATGGAAGCCTAGAAGCTTGGCTTCATGGTATGGCTTGCCAACTTTTTCTTTCTGAACCATTGCTGCATAGTCCCCAATTTAGTTGCAACTGTAACTAATCTTTCATTAGATTATTTTTTAAATCTTATTGTAATTTCCTGATGTCCAAAACATGACTCTGACAGCATCTTTCATTTTACAGGCTCATTAGGCGCTGACTGCCCCTTGGATTGGGACACCAGAATGAAGATAGCACTTGATGCTGCAAGGGGATTAGCATACCTTCACGAGGATTCACAGCCTTGTGTAATCCACAGGGATTTCAAAGCTTCTAATATATTGCTTGAGAATGACTTTCATGCTAAAGTGTCTGATTTTGGTTTGGCCAAACAGGCGCCAGAAGGGCGCTTAAATTATCTTTCAACTCGTGTTATGGGAACTTTTGGGTAAGCTGAATGTGTTCTACCCTGAGCTACATCCAGCTATTTCTGTTCTGCTTTTGCTTTTATATGTCTGACGTGTTTTTCAGGTACGTAGCACCCGAGTATGCAATGACAGGACACTTAATTGTAAAAAGTGATGTATATAGCTATGGAGTTGTTCTACTTGAACTACTTACTGGGAGGAGGCCTGTGGACATGTCACAATCTTCGGGGCAGGAGAATCTAGTCACATGGGTTAGATTTCCTTCTATTCCATACCATCTTCGGTTATTTTTGCATTAGTCTCTTTTACTTACATCGGAGTACGAATCTGTCTATTACTATTTTAGTAACTATTGAGCAGCCAACTAGTTGTGAGTGTCCTAGGCATGAACAGTAGTGGTTTATTAATGCCAAAGGCAGCTGGGACAAAACAAGACGGGTAGGCATTAAATCACTGGTGGATGGAAAGCAAAACATTACGCATAACTAGTTGAGTGTTCTACTCACCAACACAGACTGTTGTTATGTTCTGTATCTAGCTTGAGTGACTAGGCTTTGGGTATACTTATTAATGAAGTGACTAGACTTTGTGTATGGTTAGGCTTTGTAAAACAGACTGTTGTTATGTTCTGTATCTAGCTTGAGTGACTAGGCTTTGGGTATGCTTATTAATGAAGTGACTAGACTTTGGGTATGGTTATTAATGAAATTTCAATGTAATCCTTGTCCACAACACTGACAATTATTCGTATGTTTCTTAGTTGCCTTCTGTGGCTTAGTTTCGCAGGAGGCTAGTTCATTAAACCTCAACATTTTGTGTATCTGTATAACTGATTATCAATAAGTATAAAGAGCATATGATGTTACACTTGTGTAATAATGATGTTATTTTTGCTCGACTAACCACAGACACGGCCAGTTCTTCGGGATAAAGATAGGCTACAGGAACTAGCTGACCCCAAGCTTGGTGGACAATATCCGAAAGATGATTTTGTGAGGGTGTGCACAATCGCAGCAGCCTGTGTTTCCCCGGAGGCGAACCAAAGGCCAACGATGGGCGAGGTGGTGCAGTCACTTAAGATGGTGCAACGCTCCAAGGAGTTCCAGGAATCTGTACCGACACCGCCCGCTTGTCCTAATGCCCGGCATACTGCAACGACCTATGAATCTGATGGCACTTCATCCATGTTCTCATCCGGGCCCTTCTCAGGCCTCAGCCCCTTTGAGACTGAAAACATGTCAAGAACGGCGGTTTTCTCGGAAGATCTTCACGAAGGTAGATGATCTTGGGGGTGGTTGGTGAGTAGATGTTTAAGGTAGAGCCTCTAACCGCCCATTCAAAGGCTGGTGGTGTTAATGACCTGGCCGGTCATCGGGAAGCAGTACCTGTAAATTCCATTTTTCGTCACCACCTGCAAAAGACTAGTAGATCGTCACAACATTTGATGGCTTTGTACCAATGAAATGATTTTGCTCGAGGTTTCTGTCCCTAGGTCCTGGCTCATGTTGACACAGTTTAGGCGTGTGTTGGACCTTTTTTGTGGTGCTTGTTGTCAACTTGAGTTGCAACAGGAAGTGGAAGCTATCTGCAGCAGATTTCTGTTGCGTGTGTGGGGAACTGTGGAGTGGAGATCTCCGGAACCTCTGCGCGCGTCCGGTGTACCGGCCTGCCTGCACACGGTGATGTAGTACCGGAGCGGCGACGTGAGGGAGTTTTGTGAAAGCAAAATGATTTCCTGAACAAGCGGGTGTCCTCCAGGCTCCAGCCATGGATGCATGGCATGGCTCCCGGCAAATGCTCCCACTCCCCACACTCTCGTCTTCAGCGCCCCTTCTCCCGCGGTCAAACACTCCCTTTCTTCCCTTTCACCACTAACCTCTCGATCGCCTCTGTATCGCCCCACCTCACTGCTCCCTCCCTCCCTCTCTAGATCGAGATGGCCATGACTGGGCTGCTCGCGCTTCTCGTCGCGGCCGGGGCCGCGGTTGCGGCGGACGCCAAGCCGTACAGCCCGACGGACTCCATCCTGCTCAACTGCGGTTCCACGGCGGACGGCCTTGACGCGGACGGGCGCAAGTGGCTGGCGGACACCAACAACAACATGTGGCTGGGCGACTCCGGCAAGTCGTCCCTGATGGCGGCGGCGGACGAGCTGGACTCGTCGCTGCCGTCGACGATCCCCTACATGACGGCGCGCGTCTTCACGGTGGACACGGTGTACAACTTCACGGTGAACCCCAAGGACCGGCACTGGCTCCGCCTCCACTTCTACCCGTCGTCCTACAACGGGATCGCGCCCGAGGACTTCCGCTTCTCCGTCTCCACCTCCACGGGCCTCACCCTCCTCCGCAACTTCAGCGTGTGGGTCACCACCAAGGCGCTCACCCAGGCCTACATCGTCCGGGAGTTCTCGCTCCCGCGGACGCCCGCGGGGTTCATCGCCGTCACCTTCACCCCCACGCCCACGCCCATGACCAACGTCACCTACGCCTACATCAACGGCCTGGAGCTCATCTCCATGCCCGACATCTTCGAGGACCCCGCCACCATGGTGGGCTTCGCCGACCAGACCGTTGACATCGCCGCCTCCTCCTTCCAGACCATGTACCGCTTCAACATCGGCGGGGGTTACATCCCGCCCTCCAACGACTCCGGCCTCGCCCGCTCCTGGTTCGACGACACGCCCTACGTCTTCGGCGTCATGCAGGGGGTCAGCTACACGGCCGGCCCCCGCTTCCACGTCAAGTACCCCACCGAGGCGTCCGAGTACGCCGCCCCCGTCGAGGTCTACCTCGGCACCCGCTCCATGGGCTCCGACCCGCGCGTCAACCAGAACTACAACCTCACCTGGACCATGGAGGTGGACGGCAACTTCACCTACGTCGTCCGCCTCCACTTCTGCGAGCTCCTGCTCAACAGGCCCAATCAGCGCGCCTTCGACATCTACATCAACAACAAGACGGCGCAGTCCGACGCCGACGTCATCGAGATGACGTCCGAGCGTGGCGTGCCCGTGTACAAGGACTTCGCCGTGCACATGGCCGACGACCCCGGGGATGAGGTCATGTGGGTGGCCATGCACCCCTCCGTGGCGCTCAGGCCCCAGTTCTACGACGCCATCCTCAACGGCCTCGAGGTCTTCAAGCTCAACGACAGCGCCGCCAACCTGGCCGCGCCGGACCCCGTACCGTCCAAGATGCTCGCGGAGGCGGAGCTGAGCGAGAGTGAGAAGGAAAGGTCCAAGAAGTCCAAGGACCAGGCAAACATGGCGACGGTCATAGGTGGCACGGCGGGCGGCGCCGCTGCGGTGGGGATCGTCGCGGCCATCTGCCTGGTGGTCTACCACAACAAGAAGAACAGGGAGCTCACCGGCAGCGACTCGCACAACTCCGGCTGGCTGCCCATGTACCACTCTACAACCAGCGGCAAGTCGTCCGGCCACCTCGCGGCGAACCTGGCGGGCATGTGCCGGCACTTCTCCATCGCGGAGATAAAGACGGCGACCAAGAACTTCAGCGAGTCGCTGGTGATCGGCGTGGGCGGGTTCGGGAAGGTGTACCGCGGCGTGGTGGACGGCGACACCAAGGTGGCCATCAAGCGGTCCAACCCGTCGTCGGAGCAGGGCGCGCTGGAGTTCCAGACGGAGATCGAGATGCTGTCCAAGCTGCGGCACCGGCACCTCGTCTCCCTCATCGGCTTCTGCGAGGAGAGCAACGAGATGGTCCTCGTCTACGACTACATGGAGCACGGCACGCTGCGGGAGCACCTCTACAACAAGGGCAGCAACCCGCCGCTGTCGTGGCGGCACCGCCTCGACATCTGTATCGGCGCCGCGCGGGGTTTGCACTACCTCCACACCGGCGCCAAGTACACCATCATCCACCGCGACGTCAAGACCACCAACATCCTCGTGGACGAGAACTGGGTCGCCAAGGTCTCCGACTTCGGCCTCTCCAAGTCCGGCTCCTCCACGGTGAACCAGGCGCACGTCAGCACCATGGTCAAGGGGAGCTTCGGATACCTCGACCCGGAGTACTTCCGGCGGCAGCAGCTCACCGACAAGTCGGACGTCTACTCCTTCGGCGTCGTGCTGTTCGAGGTGCTCATGGCGCGGCCGGCGCTGAGCCCGCAGCTGCCGCGGGACCAGGTCAGCCTCGCCGACTATGCGCTCAGCTGCCAGCGGAAGGGCACCCTGCCGGACGTCGTCGACCCGACCATCAAGGACCAGATCGCGCCAGAGTGCCTCATCAAGTTCGCCGAGACGGCGGAGAAGTGCCTAGCCGACCAAGGCTTGGAGCGGCCGTCCATGGGCGACGTGCTGTGGAACCTCGAGTTCGCGATGCAGCTGCAGGACGCGTTCGACGGCGCTAGCGGGCGACGGCAGGCCCAAGACGACGGGAGCGGCAGTGGGCGCCCGGTGCTCGAGCCCAGCAACAGCTATGGGAGCACCGCTAGCGTAACGACGATCGGGACGTCGTCCACGTCCAGGGCGCACGACGCTTGCGTCGTAATAGAGGAGGAGGACGACGACATAACCAACCGCGCGGCCTTCTCGCAGCTCGTGCAACCCACCGGGCGGTGACACGAGCCGAGCGGCTCCCTGTTTCCACGGGGCCGTGAAGCGTGAAGAGTGAAGAGAGTGTGCTATGTGTTGTGTTGTCGGTGCTAAATTTTGAGATTCTCTTTAGTACGTAGATCAATGTAAGTTCCAAGGACATGGAGATTTTGATAACTAGAAGCAGACATTAGAGTTTCACTCAGTGTTCATGTAGCTAAGGTACTAGAGAATACAGATGGTTTCACTGGAATTTAATCAAGGATCCATCTAAAACACATCTAGATGACTTCACCATGTTTGCAGCCCTCCTGATCGCTCTGTTTTTTCTCTCGTTTGCTTGTTTGTCACCCGGGCCTTCCCTCCCTTTGGCCCTCATCCTTTTTGTTTGTCGCTTCCAGGACTGGGAAACCCCTCCCCCTCCCCCACTCGCCCCTACCCTTTTGGATAGCTGGTGGGTTTTCTCTGATTGACTCTTTCGCCAATATTTTTTATTTATTTCAAAAATATTCTCCGTGAATTTTCAGGTCATTCCGAGAACTTTTATTTCTACACAAAAATAACACCAAGTCAATTCTGCTGAAAACAACGTCAGTCCGGGTTACTTTCATTCAAATCATGTAAATTAGAGTCCAAAACAAGGGCAAAAGAGTTTGGAAGTAGATACGATGAAGACGTATCACTTCCTTTTCCCCCAAAAAATATTTTGGTCATTTGTTTTTCACAGCCCGTAGCGCTCCCGTATCGGCGACGAGGATTCATCGGGCGGGCTTCCTCCGCCTAGCGGGTCAGGGGAGCGTCTGCTCCCTTCTCCTGCCCACGACGGGTTGAGGAAGGCGACTTCTCAACAGGCCCCGCCTATGCTTACTGTGGGGGATGGCGCTAGCGTCCCTATGGTCGAGGTTGAAACTTCGACCACCAAAGACCCGCTAGAGAAGGACCCCTTCACCAAGGAAGGGGAAACACTGGAGCAGTTGGCGACCTCGGCCCCCATCGAGCTGACGTCACCACGAAGAGGGCCGAGGTGACCCGAACACCCCTACCTACAAGCAGGCGGGCATCCATGGGGTGGCCCGAAGAGATGGAGGTGTCCTCGATGGGCTCCTCCATTGTCGCTGAGCACCGCGTCTTTCTAGGCGCGGCGCTGAGAAATTTCTTGTCCGCGGAGACTAGAATAAGGGAGGCCTTCAAGGGCCTCTATGAAGGCTTTGAGGTAAGTTTTGAGCATCTCTTAGAATTGCGTCGACGCTTAGAGCTTTTAGCACTAGATGTGCCCAACAACCCTTAGCAGACAAGTAAAAAAAATTGTCCAAAGACTTAAGCCACCGCAGACACATATCGCAAGTGTATAACCACAGTAGCCCCCGAGACCTGAGTTAGATTCAAAGATCTTACTCAGGGCTCTTAGAGATAATGAAATTTTTATACGAGCGAATGCACACTAGCCCCTGAGACCCTGATCGGATTGACAAAGCCGACCAGGGGATAGATATCATTCGAGGTAGCTAACCATGTCTTTTGCATGCTTCTGCCTTGGCTTTGGCATCCAACTCGAGAGAATTGGAAGAGCTGAGCTTGATCGGTCCGAGAAGGACATGGATCTGCTCAAGAAGCAGATGGAGCAGGCTCAAGGTAAATACCAAGACCTTAAGTACCATAAAACTGTACTTAAATGATGATGTGGATTCTAAATCATATATGAATATGCATGTAACTTCCACCTCGAAG